TCTTTATGAAGCTCTGACCCTTTACCCACAATGCCCCATTCCCCCTCCTGATGCGGCTTTTGTTTTTTTTCTCTGATGAAAAAGTCCAGATTAGGGAGGAGGGGCGTGGGGAACGTTGGAACAGGGGAGAAGGAGAAAAATAGGGACGACTCATCTTTGTGATCTGATTTGAACCGAAATACCAGAGCGAGAAAGGCCGAGGCCAGGAGAAGCCCACCGTACAAACACTACAGGACATATGCAAACCAATGGCTATGGGCCATTTAAACACCCCTAACACTTACTGACACTGGAAAAAAGGAATATCTTACGTTTTACTTCTTTAAAGCTGCACAATATGTCACTTTTCAGATTCGGTCTCCTGCTCGCTTTGACAAGAATGTTCCGCAGTGTGGCATTAAACTTACATTTCTTGTATTTATTCAGTTACCTCTGCAAAGATCTGATCTGTGACTCAGACGCATTTATCTGTAACGAGCCTTATGTGTTTTTGCATGTGTGTGTGTGTGTGTATGTGTGTACGTGTACGTGGGTGAGACTGCACGTAACTGTGAGTTGTATGGTTGTGTAGGGTCGGGCAGTTGTGGGGGTAGGGTGGTGGGTGGAAGGTCATGAGGGATTGTTTTTTTCATAACTGTAAAGCGCTTTGTGTAATATTTTTGTACATTTTATAAATACAGTTTAATTTGATAAGTGAAATTACAGCGGAACATTCCAGGCAAAGCAGTAACATCTCCATGAAGACAACCACTAGGAAAATACACAAATAAAGAGGAGACATCTTGACTTAAACTCAGAATATATATCTCGTTTAGGTTCAGAATTTGTTTTAAGTTGGCTTGAATATTTTAAAATCTTCTCAAACTTAATTATCTGCCAGACAGACTAGGGATGGTCAGGCTGGCGCCACCTAGTGCCTCCGCTCAATTTAATTTCTCTCCAGCAACTAGATCAGGAATCGGTATACTCCAGACGGTTTGCAAGAAAGCTGGAATTTGTAGACCTCACACCGGCGAATCAGCGAAGAGCTGCGAAGCCATGACATCAAACTCAAACGCCTGTCTGGGTCCCTTTTTGTCGTACAGCACAACAGTAAACAAAGCGGTCGAGATGGATGTAGACAAAACCATACAATCTGTGTTGGCAACGATTCCCAAGATCGAGGATTTAAAGCCAGAACAAAGAGAATGTTTGGTGAAGTTTATCAAGTGGAAAGAGGTTATTGCCCTTCTTCCTATGGGGTTTGGGAAAAGCTTAATATACCAGTTCGCCCTGTTAGCGGCGCATTACATACATCACGACCAAATAGCAGCAAATGATTAAATACAAAAAGTACCCACTTACCATCAAGAGAACGAATCCTAATGCTGCGAGGTCAGACGGTTTCCATGAAGTGATGATGATGATGATGATGATGATGAATCAGACTAGACTAGAGCTGGAACTAGGAATTATCTTCAAATTATCATCAAATTATCATAAAAAGTCTCCAAAACTGACCCGACATTATATTTTAATTTCATTTATTTAGATAGTAAATCTACATGTATTGCTGTTTTAGCGTGTATGGTTCTGTTCTTACTGCAGGTTAAATTATCTACTAGTGCTACTGACCAAATCTGCCTACGCTATACATGAAACAGCTCCAAATATAAATAAGACATATTCCTTTTGCAGAGGAGACACTGAAAGGCAAAGGCTATGACAGCTTGTCAGTTAAAGAATACGTACAATACAGAGGGAGGAAAACATACACGGTGCCTGGAGCAAAAGACAGGGACGGTTTATGAAGGGAATCATGAGTACTGGGTTAAAAAGACTAACCCACCTCCTTCTTTTATCTCTCTCTTCCACTCTCTCCCTCCCTTTGGGTCTTTCTCTCTTTCCCTGCCTTTTTTTTCCCATTTCTACCATTTCTCTTCCATCTCACCACCACACACACAACCCTCTCACTCTCTCTTTATCTTTCTTTTTCTGTCTATCTCTACTTCTCTCTCTTTCTCTTTGGTCTCTCTCTTGCTCCCTCACTCCTTCGCTCTCTCGCTTGTCTGTTGTTCTACTTCTTCGAAGCTCGGAGCCCTGGGGTCAAATAACCATATCTCCATCTCAGAAACACTTCCCATCTCTGGGCTGTAAAGAAAGAAGAAAAAAGTCAGCATCTCTCCCTTACTCCCCCCCTCTCTTTCTCTCTCTCTGTACCATCCTCTATCTCTTTCCACCTCTCTTTCTCTCTCACGCTCCCTTTAACTCTCTCTCTGCCTTTTTTTCTTTCACACTTTCTCTCTACCCCTCCCCTCTCCTTATTTCAAATCATGTATAATCCGCCTCTCTCTCCCTCTCCACACCTCTTTCTCTCTTGTCACTTCCTGTCCCTCTTTCCGACTTTCTCTTCCCCCTTTCACCATGCTTCTATCTCTCCTCCTTACTCTTATTTACCCCCCTTTTGCTCTGTCAACTCCCTCTCTCCCCCTCTTCCTCTCAAGGTCCCTCTTTCCCTTCCCACCTTTATTTTTCTAATTTCTACCTCCCTATCTCTCTCTTCTTAATTTTGCTTTCTCTCCCTCTCTCCTTCCTTTTTCTCTCTCTATCCTTCTCTCCCTCTTTCTCTCTCCCATCCATCCCACCTTTCTTTCTCTAATTTTCCCTCTTCCTCTCTCTCTACACGCCTCGTCCTCCGTCTCGTCTTACTCTTCAACTCTCTTTTTAATATTCATTTCTCCCGCTACCTCTCTCCCTTTCCCCCCCTCTTCTCCTTCCCTCTTCTCTCTCTCCATCCCCCTGTTCCTTCCTTATTCCTGTCTCTCCCTTCCCCATCTGTCTCTCTCTCTCTTTCTCTCTCACGCACAGTCAAACCAGATAAATAAGCACGTCCTTCGCCTGCAGCTGCCAGCCGGGTTCACAGTCCCTAAACTACATCAGCCACTAATTAATGAATCCTCGTGTACAATTATGACCTGACGCGGAGGGCCACAGGGGGGCGATACTGGCAACGCGCTGGAGGTTTTGGTCTTTGGTGAGGACAGACAGAGGTGGAGTCTGCAGATGTTTCAGACAGAGTAATGTTTACTTTGGGCTTTGAAGACAGTTTGTGGTTGATGCCTCATAGTTTTTATAGACAGTTTCCATTTCCAGTATCTAAATGTGGAGGTGGAAAGTTCTCAGTGCGCAAAAATCCAACAATATTTTAATACAACTCACTAGGCACGTTTTGTGAAATGTCTGAATGTTATTTTCAGAGAATTATATTGCTAACTTGAGACCTTCAACAAGCACTTTCCTTTAATTCTTGTATTTAGATAAGTTGTAATCCATTTCAAATTTGTGAAATTTTTTGTTGACCTTGTATGATTATTTTATCGTTTTACTCACTTGTCCCAGTAAAAAGAAGACTAAAAAGGTGCACGCGAGGTTTGTCAAAAGAGCTGAAAATGAGATGTTATTGTAAAACCAGATACTCCTTTAAACCAACATGAACAAAGACAAAATATGACCCTGCCTGAATAGTTTTAGAATAAACTTGAATTTTGATCTTTATCAGAACAAGTAAGAACACATGAAAATAAATGAAACTGGTCTCTGGTATTGAAACTGGCATCGAGAATTTAGCTTTTTCCTTAGAATCAAAATCAATACATTTTAGAATCATGAAAACACCCATTGTGAGTGAAGGTTTACTAAATAGACTACAGAGCATATTGTAGCTTTCATCAAATTCACAATATTTGCGCACCTGCATATTTATTTGTGATACAATACAATGGGATATAATACTCTTTTGACAAATTGTGTCCTGTGTACAGTTCAGATAACTATTATTGATTATTAAATAAATCCCTTTTACTCTGGTTATAGCTACTGCAGCCCTCTGAGCTTAGCCTTGGGTGTGGTGCAGTGAAAACAGCAGTGACTGTATGGCATTACTTATACTTTAGATATTCTGTTCTTTGCTGATAGCGCTGCCAGTGGCATTAAACTTCACAGAGTTGCCTCCCCTCTCAGATGTACTTTGAATATTTTATGGACTATATATGTCGATGACATCGACGGCAGTGTAGTATATAAGTGTAATTAGGAGCCATATTAGGTCTCAGCCACAATCACTCACAGACCAATGATTTGAACTGACCCGAGAGTTGACCCTGGCACAGTCACGCAACCGCACACACACATTTAGACATACACACTAAGACATATACACACACTTTCACACAAAGACATATACACACACCTTCAGTCACACACACACACACTTACACATGGAGGGTCTTTGGAGAGTGAGGAGGGGGCAGAGAAAGAGGCGATACAAGAATGTGCAGTTTAAGAGAGAAGCAGAGGACAGTGGCCCACAGCCATTTAACACCTCACTCAGTGAAGAAACTTAGGCTTTAACTCGCCACGAAATCTCATCTTTTATACGCGAAAAAGAAAGGAAACATTTTGTCCTTAACAATACAAAGGATATTTGAGAAGGAATGTCTTCCACATTTGAGAGACTAGCGCTAGAACTATGTGGTTGTGCTTGCCAAAACACCACAGACGAGATTTTACAATTTTCTGCCGCTTTTTTTTTTTTTTGCTGCTGTATTGCTTATTAGTTTTGATATATATTTTAAGTAACTCTTAAGATGACTCTTAACTAGTCAAGTAACTAAAAACAAGACTCGTTTTAAAGATGCCATACTCTGGAACATTCCCAGCAAAGCCATAAAATCTCCATGGCGGCAAGCACACTGATGATACCCTAACACTAAAGTCTTTAAATACTAATGGTTTTCTTCATTTTCAAAGCTTAAAACACTTTGAAATAAAGTGATGACGGAGTATTAACTGCATCGCTAGTTGCTGTAATTGTTAATGTCCGTTTTCCTTCCTGTTCTGGAGTGATGACATCCACACTTCCACACACTCACAGTATTGGACCATGTGGTGAACACATTGGACTGCCCCCTCCTTTAAGGTCCAGCAGCTCAGTGTATTAGAGCAGCAGGAACGCAACTCACCCCTGTGTCCGGATACGTGGTCCACCCCAGCTCCGACGTCGACTCTGATGTGTCCAGCAGCATCACTGCAAAAAATAAACAGACACAGGTCAAATACAATTTTACAGTGTATATTAGGACTTTGAGATTATTACATTGCAATTGAATAGAAATCACAAAGACTGCGGTTATTTAAAAGGCATTTGAGCAAAACTGCAGATATGTTGTATAAGCAGCAGCAGTGCAGCAAAACTCCACTTTGAAAGTTGTGAAAAAGCTCTTATAAAGTAATTAATATTAACACTTCACACTAAGTTAATAATGAATATGCTCAGAATGCAAATGATAAGTGAGGAATAACTTTGGACCACTGTTTAAAATGAGCCAGTTTTGTTTTTCATGTTTTAACTCAAACCCTTATCACAATGCTTGACAGAATTTTTTTTTCAGCTCTATGGCAATCTCAATGTCAATGTTATAATTTGACCCTTGTTAAGAGCAGAGTCTCAAATTGGTCATTCACTTCTTCACTCTTTATATTTTCTCCTCAGTGTAATAAAACCTATAGAGGCTTGAGCTGTGAACCTCTGTCAGAAGAGATAAGTGTCTTCATGCAGTGGTGCATTCAAGTGTCAAGTCCCAGTGTGTAAAAGTGGAGACTGATGGAGCTGATGGACTCTGTGATTAAAGGTCGTGTCTTCTGACTGTAAAGGCCAGAGCTGCGTCTGTCGCCTCGCGCTGAGGAGAGGAGGGTGAGGCCCGCTGATGTGAAACTCATCTGAGAAAGACGTCAGAGAGTCCGTTTCAACTTTATTAGATTCATCCAAAAAACTACGACCAATAGAACTAATCAGTTCTACACATGTATCAATCTGGTATGACTCTCATGAAAGTTTATTGTGAGAAACTGGAACATCATGATGAATACTTGAAGCTGACTGGTCAACGTTGAAGCCGACAAATCCACATCCAGTCGAGAGAAGCACACAAACATACTTCCTGTCCACAAATGCACAAAATGTATTTCCCTCTGCAAGTTTTTCAAACACAAAATCGTGTATATTTCTGCTAAAATAGTCTGAAGTCTTCCATCACCTTTGGCTTCCACCCAAACCACAATGCTGCCCTGTGATTGGTCCAGTCTCCAAACCACTGGTGGCCAGGACTAAAAGCACCAGCAGAAACATTTCAAGATGGATTCTCATGAGTTTGGGAACTCACAAATATAGCAAGAATTCATCTTGGTAAGCAAGGTTACATCATAGTGCTAACATGTAAAAATAAAAAGACAAGAATGTTCTGAAAAACATGTGATTTTTCAGTTTAAGGTGTTCTTATTTCACTTTTCTCTCAAATTTCCTGAACGATTCAAATATATGGAGTGCATGTGAACAGAATTTTGCTTTTAAACGAATGAATCACAAATCTAATCACAATTGAAATACTCGTGACAAAAATCACCAATATTTTTCCCTAATAGTTCAGCCTTAACACGAACACAAATAGCTTCTGACTCGTGCTCTGAAGTGCATTTGGACATAATTTACTTTTGGGTTTAAGTGCTTAAAAAGGAGCAGGGAGATCTCAGATGCAGATGCTGAGTGCTTCAGGCCGACACATGGAGGAACACTGAAATTTCCATTAGTATTCCAAAGCGCTGAGACTATTCCAGTCTGGCACCGTCTGCTCCACTCAGTCGAGGAGATGAGAGGAGAGCCAGCCAAACTTTGTCATGTTCAGAGGTGGCAAAAACAGCAGCTTCAGATTACACTGCAAAATATGATCAGCTGCTTAAATGACTTTGAATTTTAAACTGGTTGGTTAGAGTTTAGATTTAGTTAGTTAGTTAATCTTGAGTGTTTTTGACCAATTTCAGTGTATTTATGAGTGGTTTAAACTTTTTTTCTTTTCCAAATGATCTGACCATGGAGTAACTTTTTTCACATATTCAGGGATTCACCCAGTGGCGAACTGTGCATTTCACACCTAGACCTTCAGTCGTGCTCTGTCTGAAACAATCCACTCCTCAATAACTATTTTATGGTTATAAAAGCATCTTATTATACAGAAACACAGTATAAAGAGCCGTGGAGATTCTGTGCAAGGAGAAGTGAGGAGAGGGGGGTGCGTGGTGCATGCAGAAGAAGTGAGGTGCACTGGGGTGCTAAACCAGAACTAAACCATTTGGGATGGGCCCAAAGGTGCACCTGCATAGACTGTTGGGTGACCGCAAATGAAAGGACTGCGCCTGGTGAAGTTCTGGTTTAGACCTGGTTTAGTCCTGGTTCTGCTACATATGCAGTTTGCTGCCTGCTAGAAGGCCCTGATGACACCAACTCAAAATCTGATTGGCTGAAGCAACAGTTTCATGGACATTTATTTTGTGTTCGAGGGCCTTCAGAACGGACTGTGAAGGCCTCAGGCAGACTTCTTTGACTTTGACTCTGCCTGGTAACAAATGGCGGCTGAAATGTGATTGGTCAAATGCTTTAATCTGAAAATACATGTCTGGAAGCAGCACAAGCATCGGAAAAGCATTGAAAGGAAGTGGTCAGAACATTTGGAATTATTTAATTAATTAAATAATTAACATTATTGTGTGATTCAGATATTTTTTTAGGCCAGCAGAGAAGGCCTTGTAGGCCCTGATGGCCCACCACTGGATTCACCAATACTAGAATCGGCTCTGATTCAGAAGATTTTGCTGAATTCAGCCCATATAAGGAATAAAATAAATACAATTAGTTAATAATACAGCATTTATATACAGTACAGTATTGATATTGATATCAGAACTGAAAAGGCTGGATTGGTGTTAGGGGTAACTGATTATCACAAAGAACTAGATCATGATTTTGATGTGATCACAGTTCATGTTTTCTTTGAAAGCACATGATGGATTCTGACCAAAACAGGAAAGTATCTATTTCTGAGCATAGAGCTGCATAAAACAGAAAAGCCAGGAGTCACAATATGTCAAAAATAGCACATTTTCACAGGAAATAGATTTTTATCGCTATATGGCCTACCCTAATCGGTGCATTAATGGTCCTATATTGCACATTAAAAACATACCCAGAGTTGTTTTGTTTCATTCACAGATGTTTCAGTAATCCTAATAATTAATTAATCTGTCTACACCTCCAAAGCTCAAAATGTCCTGTTCCAACTTGTGATGTCATGAAGCAGTAGTTTTAAGGTTAACCTTTATCTTTTACATTTTTCTCTGTAACGATAGGCAATTCCAGGGCTGAAATCATCCAAATGATTCTAGTGAAGGTGTATGCAGTTTAGAAACACAGTGGAGCACCTGTATTACCACTTGACGACATCACAAGGTGGTACAGAGTGTTTTCAGTCTGAGAGAGACACGTGTGAATGAAACAAAATACAACTTTGGGTATTTTTTTTGATGTGGAAAGATTATAACAGAAATCCATTCCCACTCTTTTTCACTGATAAAATTTCAGAAGTTTTCCATGACTTTTTCATGACCTAAAGTGAATTTTCCATGACTTTAGGGCACCCTACATCTGTAGAATTGATCAGACTTTTAGAGCTTATTATGAAATGTTAACTGTGTCCACTCACCTTATGGTCTGGTATTATAATTTTTTAACATTCAAAATACTGTCAGTGCATTTATTGTTGTCTCTTTTAAACAAAAGGCGCATACGTTTGGAAATAATCATAATTGCTGAATGATAATAGAAAGCTGTATTTGCGAGAAATTTACAAAATTCTATGACTTTTCCAGGCCTGGAAAATGAAATTTTCAATTTCCATGAGTTTTCTAGGATTTCCATGACCGTGTGAACCCTGGAAATCAGAAAAAATATAATACCCTTTAATATTTAGTTAAATTAATTAACATTTATGGAAATTTTTCTTTTCTAGAAATAAGAAAAAGACACTGCAGCCAGAAACACGCTGAAACAAATCCAAAAATCTAGTCCAATTAACATCATTAGAACCTCTCAAACCATAATTATTATTCTCATTTCAAGTCATTTTAGCTCACATACATAATATTAATTTTTGCAGTGCATGCGTAATAATGAACAGATGGGGCTAATGGGCAAAAACTGCTTAGCTGCTCCATCCATTATGAACAACACTGATCACGTAAAGAGCCCCACTTCCTCACAGTCGTGCATATTCAGAGAGCAGGCAGACGCTGTGTTTACAAATAAATCATACCTCCCCTGTTTGTACCATACAGTTTTAATATGCTCCTCTTTCATATCACACAAGCGCTGACCACAAAAGAGCCTTTATTCTGGCTGTGAGGAGCAGATAAAGAGGGATAGCATAGTAATATCTGTGTATACTCATCACTGGTTCTGGCTGTGATAGGAAAAGACTTGCAGTTTAAAACAATGACCCACAGAGACAGCTCAATTTCACTCAGTATGTGTCCATCTCCCAGATTTAACTACAAATATTTGAGACTGTGAGATGGTGCTGTCATGATACTGAAATTTCAACTTCAATTTACATATTTAAAGGTAAAATAATGTGCAAAAAAGACTCTTGTGAGGTTTAGGCAATGTTATAATGCCGTTACCTCATCATAAACATACATGGAGTTGTGTTTTGTTTCATTCACGCATGTATAAGTAACTCTTTATTATTATTGGCCTGTCTACATCTCTAAAGCCCTAAATGCTCTGTTCCACCTTGTGATGTCATGTAGCAGTAATTTTCAAGTTGACAGCCATCTTTTATCTTTTGTTTAGTATAGACTGTACAGATATTGTGGGTCTGAGAGAAGAACTCAGCCTAAATATGCAGGATTTGGACGGGTTTGTAGGTGTGAATGAAACAAATTACAATTCCAAATATGTTTGTGATGAGGGAACAACATTATAACAGAGAAGAGAAAATAGTGCAATATGAGTCCTTTAAGAACAGGCTCAATTTTGATACTACGTGTTGTTTTCCATGTGTTTAAGGCAGTAAAAATCAGCTACAGTGCTTTTAAGTCCTGCTGTTCTAGTCCTGGTTTGTTCCCAGCTTACCCCCATGGTGTGTTTGCAAGTGTGAACTGAGAATTGATTTGCATATTTTTTGACAACCATACCAT